TTGTTTGGTCGGTTAAAGCAATTCCCAAAAATTAAAATTCTTAAAGAATTTGACCAAGTCTTCCACTCGTTCTAGATGCTTCAGTACTGCAATTTCTTGCTCCATTGAAAGCAACTTCTTATTTTCATTTTCCTAGGTTATATGTATATATACACATAATATAGTTTGCAATATATAAAAAAGGTTAAAACCCTATTTTAGAGTCTACTTTAATAAAAAGTCCATTTTTAATCCCTTTACTTAAGCAAAACCACTTTTTAATCCTTAAAATTTATTATTCGGCTCGTTGTCATTCCCTTTGTTATTTTTTACATATGTGGTATGTTAAATGATGGAATGGATGGTGTGGTGATTGCTAATGAAGTGATCGATGAGGTGAAGAGGACAAAGAAGAAAAGCTTCCTTTTCAAAGTTGATTTCAAAAAAGCATATGACAATGTGAGCTGGGAATTCTTAGATTATATGTAGATGAGGATGGGATTTTGTGATACATGGAGAAAATGGATACATGAGTGTTTACAATCTAGTATAGTATCAGTTCTGGTCAAATGGAAGTCCTTCAAGACAATTCCCAGTTAGCAAGGGCCTTCACCAAGGTGACCCATTATCTCCATTCCTATTCCTGATTGTAGCGGAAGGATTAAATGGGTTAATGTCTTCTATAGTGGAGAAAGAGTTATATAAGGGCGTGACAGTTGACAAGGAAGCTGTGATAGTGATCTAGCTTCAATTCGCAGATGACAACATTTTTTTTCGGGAGGCAACAAAAGACAACACATGGGTGATTAAAAGCATAATGAGGAGTTTCAAGCTGCTTTCAAGATTGAAAATAAATCTACAAAATAGCCAACTTATGGGTATCGGTGTTGAGGATGGTTGGGGAAGCAAAATGGCCTACAAATTATGCTTCAAAGAAGGGGATTTTCTAATTAAATATTTGGGAATAACCATTGGGGGAAACCATAGAAGGCTTGCAATGTGGCAGCCTTTGTTGGACTCCTTTAAAAAGAAATTGACGAGCTGGGAAGGTCGACAACTTTCTCTTGGAGGTCGGATCGCGCTGATGAATTCTATGTTGTGCAGTTTGCCTGTGTTCTTGATGTCAATCTACCTAGTCCCTAAAGGTATTCTTAATTCTATTGATAAAATTCGTAGGAGTTTCTTATGGGGTGGGGAGGGAGAATCAAAAAAAAATTAATTAGGTTAACTGGAAGAAGGTGTGCAAGCAAAAAGAGTATGGTGGGTTAAGAGTGAGAGATCTGAGGAAATTTAATTTGGCAGTGATGGGTAAATGGTGGGGGCGGTTAACAACAAAAGAAGAAGGCTCGTGGAGGAAAGTTATCGTAGGTAAATATAGTGAGGAAGGGGGGCATTGGTTGGATTGGGTTAGAAATGGCGCAGGAGCTAGCTCATCTTGGTAGAGAGATGGCAGAGGTATTAATAATGTAGAGGGGGAGAATGCAAGGTGGTTATCGGAGGGCTTTAGGCTGAAGTTAGGAGAAGGGAAAGATGTGAGTTTCTGGTGGGATAAGTGATGCGGAGAGGTTGTCTTGCTAATAGATTTCCAAGATTGTATCTCTTATTTGCAGGAAAGGAGAAAGAATGCTACCAAATGGGCAAAATGTACAATGAAACATGGAAATGGAACCTTACATGGAGAAGAAAGTTGCTCGAGTAAGAAGAAGAGGCTGTAACGGAACTCAGTACGATGCTTGAGGAAGTAAAGATATCTCCCGGCTGCCTTGATAAATGGGAGTGGATACATAGCAAGGACAACCATTATTCAACTACAACGGCATACTCACTTTTGGCAAAGGAGCGGACATGTCCGATTCAAGAAAAAATCTTTAGGCGAGTATGGAATCCCATTCTTCCAAGCAAAATTTCTACATTCAACTGGCAGCTACTGCTCGATAGAATTCTGACTAAATCTAACTTGTTGAAAAGAGGGATTGACATAAACATGGGTGATGGCAAGTGTGACCTTTGCGAGGAAAAGGTTGAAGACGCAACCCATTTGTTCCTGAAATGCAAAATTGCTAGATGGATATGGAAAAAGTGTGTTAGATGGTGGGGGATCAATATAGAGGCACATAATGATTGTTGGAAGACCTTTGAGCAACTTGGGGCATGGACCAGAAACACAAGAATCAAAAAAGGATCAGACTGCATCTGGAGTGAAATAGTATGGTCCATTTGGCTAATGCGAAATAAAAAGATTTTCCAGACCAAGAGGTGAATTTGGGTAAGTTGCTCGAACTGGTTCAACTGCGATCTTTTGTATGGATTAAAGCTAAAATAGCCAGGTGTTACTTTAATCTTTCAGATTGGTTAATTAATCATATTGCATGCCTTACTATTAATTGTGGTGGAAAAGGCTAGGAAAGGAATGGTATGAAAGATGGGATTAACATCAAATGGCTGGATTTTTTTGTGTTGTTTGGCGTAAGTTTATGGGTTGAGTACCCGTTGTACTCTTCATTAATAAAAGTTTGCTGTTCAAAAAAAAAAAATGATGGAAATTTCAAAATAGAAGAACTAAAAATGAACTAAAATAAGCCCTTTTGGTCTCTCTACTTAAGAAAAAAAAAAAAGTCTTTTTTTAATCCTTCTACCTTGAAATTTTCATTATCTAACGTGCGTTTTGTGCAAAAAGATAATGGATGAACAAAAGACAGACTAGATAATAAACTTTAGGGATTAAAAAATGACCCCTTTTTTTTATTAAAATAGAGAAACCACAATGAGATTTTAACCTATATATAATGGGTGCGTAGGCTCAACCTGAGACCCTGCAAATCGTCCAAAGTACCATTGCTAAGCAATTGTCAATTGAAGTGAGCTCAGTCACTCCTGCAACCAAGTTTGCTGACATGGGTGGCGACTCTCTTCACACGGTAGGTCTTATTATCACCCGGACAAATATCAAAGAATTCTTAACTTTTGTACAGTTCGAAAACGGGTTTGGATTATCCCAACAGATTTTGTTTCATTCTGTTTAAATTTGGAAAGAATAGAAGTTGACCTTGCATCAGCAAAATATCAGCAGGTAGAGATAATGATGGCTTTGGAAGAGCAGTTTGGGGTGTCCATTGGAGAAGGTGGAGCTGAGGACATTGCCACTGTTCAAGATGCTGCCGACCTCATCGAGAAAGTGAAGGCGGAGGAGGCCTAACTGCCTAAGCCAACATACCGCACACCGCAGCAGCATATATCCATTCACATTGCAATTTAGAGTCATGAAATTTTCCCCTCCTTTAAGAATCATTTCAACAAGGTGGTAATTTTTGTTTCAGAGTTTTCTCTGAACTAATGTCATGCTCTTTTTCTATCTACTGCAAGCAAGAAAAAGAAACAATAAAACCCAAAAAGAAAAGCCCATCAATTGTCTTTGAGATCTTATATACCTTCTGGGCAACATCTCAATTTTCAATACAGCAAAATTGCTACAATGAGCAAAATTTGTAGGGGCTTCCCCCCTTTTCTTGTTTGGGCCACATCATTCTGTTTGTATCCTGGTTGGACTTCATGGACTTCCAACCAGGATGTTAAAGATACCCTCAGTACTCAGGCATTGGGTTGACCATACCACACCGAAATTGGAACTTAAAGGAACCCATTAAACCTTCACTTCCAAGTAAATTGCAAGTGCAGCTGAGCATTGGTTAATCAAAATGTGCTAAAACCAACCACAGGAAACTATAAAAATGGTAGATCGATTTCTTTATGGCTTGGCATGGTCACAACTATGAATAAAATAGTAAAACATGATTCTACATCAATCCCACAAAAGTAGTCATCTAAACATACATGTATTCACCACCTCGTACAGCATTTGCAGCGCCTTTCCTATCTTCTTCAGCCTCCTTCTCCCTCTCCTTCCAGCTCTCATATGCATGATCATCAGTTTGTAGCTCATGTCGACAAATTGGACAGGAATTGTGCTCATCCTGTCAGAAGTTATACATTACAGTTAAACATTCATTCAGTATGCGTCCCATATGTTCCATAAACATGGAAATTCTGAATCAAAAACAAGGTTTAACCATGGCAAAGCACAATATATCATCAATCAGACAAAAGCTAAGCAACATTACCAGCCATGGCTTTAGACAGGGAGGGTGGAATGTATGCTTGCAAGGCAACTCTTGCATCTGATCACCCACAACCAAGTTCTCCTTGCAAATTGAACACTCAGCATCTGGTCCAACCTTGGTCAGGATTTCTTCTGTGAGAGTGATAATTGGAAGCTTTGCAACTACTTCTTTACTGGCAGGTGGGACTCTTGGGCCTCCAGACTCATTCTCCAATATCTTAAACAAGCAAAAATTTATACAAAAGAAATGATTACTACTTGATAGACACAAAATCTAATTACTTTATAATTAAAACTAAACCAATTATTTCAGCAGAGCAGAGTTGGAGATACCAAATCACATTATCAAACACCCATTTCTAGCATTTCACTTGCTATAAACAAAGCAAATTCTAAACATGTTGAATATCATAAATATATAGAACAAGATTCAAGCCAACTAGTACCTCAGGAATGACAGAGTCAAGGTGGGAAATGAGCTCTTCAAGTACATGGGAAGCATTCTCATCAGTGTTAATGTTGTCCACAGGACTAGAAGACTCAGCATGAAAAGCAGAAGCAACTGCATTCATCAAGTTTGCCTGCACCAGCCACTGAGGCTGCGGTGGCTCAGGATCCACAGTTAGATGCCCCTCAAAAAGATATCCTGAAACACAAACAAACCCCCCAAAACATTCACAACCCATAAATTAAATTTCCACAAATTCTAGCACAAAAAGCTAAAAACAAACCTCTATTTTGTGCAGGCTCTTGAGCTGGGGCAGGACTATCAATCTCATGCAAATGTTCCTTAGCCTGAGAAATGCAATTCTTCATATGGCCCTTCTCCGACGGTTCAGAGAAAAGCCCTTCAGCTACCTCGAACAGCCGCAATCCGGCGAGCCAGAAGCCAGGCGCCGTATATCTCGTCTTCAAAATCGTCGCAACTCGGCATACAACCGTATAAAACTGCCACGACAAATCTCGAATCAATCAAATGGAAATCGAAAGAAATTCCAAATTAAAATAGGAGGGATCGAAATTGCATACCGATTTGCGGAGAGAGGGAGAAGCGGAGGAGAAATTGTTTTGAAGGAGGGAATTGATGGAGAAAACTGCTTCCTCGAACCGCTGTTTCTTCCCGAGCTGCTTCTGCAACTCCTCCAATCGCTGCTTCAAGCTTTCCTCTGAAGAAGATGACATTTTTCCAATCGAATCGCACAAAATTGTTGAATCAATTTCACCGATCTGTTTTGCGTCGGGAGTTCTGAAGGCTTCTGATTTAATCGGAGAAGGGATTTCTTGGCCGTGGGGAAAACGGAGTCAGCTTCGGCCCACCACAATTGTGGCCCGTTTGGTATAGCAGTCTTAAGGTAACGGTTAGCAATTTTACCTAATCCGCTAATCCGCTAAGCTAAATATAAGTGTTTAGTAAATTTATATATTTTGAAATCGCTACAATTAAAATGTTTGGTAAAATTTTTATTTAGCTGTTTGAAACTAGCGGATAGTAGTTAGGGTCCAAATCGCTAGCGGATTGAAAAAGCTAGTTTATGTAGCTTTTTGTACCAAACCGCTAGTTGATTAAAATTTTTTAATTTTATTGACAAATTTATCTATTTTAATTTTTTAATTTGTGATCACATTTTTTAATTAATAACTATATAATAAATTTCAGTTTTATTTTTTTTCCCTTTAATAACATTAAGTGATTATAATATTTTTTTTATAT